ACTTCTGCTGTTCTCTCTCTCACCTTCCGAGTTCTTCCAAGTTCATTCTTCACAAAGGTAAGTTTTTCTTGCTTGTAGTATTTTTATTTTCTCCTCTTATGTTTAATGTTTTGATACAATTTATTGTTGTAGGGAATTTATTTGAGCTGGTTGAGTATATAAAGAATTGATCGACGACGGAATTCTTCTATAATTCAGGTTTCTATCACTAAATTCTTTAATTTTTAAATTGTATAATACACAAGTTTATTTATTTAAAAATTGTAATTTAAGTAGTTAGATAAATTTCTATTATTTTTGTTAAATTAATTCATATTTAGGCGAATTAATTAATTTTGTCACTTGAATTGTTATGGGAAAATGGAATGAATATTATTTATAAGCATTTATGTTAAATTAACAACATTAAATATAACATAAACTTATAATATTGAGTAATTTAAGAATATATTATGTTAAATTATTTTTTTTTGCACTCTAATTGTTATTTTAATTTGTTGTTATTTTGATAATTTTTTGTTGTTATTTACTAGAATGGATTAGATGAGAATAAATTTGAATTGTTATGAGAAAATGGAATGAATATTATTTATAAGCATTTATGTTAAATTAACAATATTAAATATAACATAAACTTATAATATTGAGTAATGTAAGAATATATTATGTTAAATTAATTTTGTTTGCACTCTAATTGTTATTTTAATTTGTTGTTATTTTGATAATTTTTTGTTGTTATTTACTAGAATGGATTAGATGAGAATAATTTGAATTGTTATGAGAAAATGGAATGAATAATAATTATAAGCATTTATGTTAAATTAACAATCTTAAATATAACATAAAATTATAATATTTAGTTATATAAGAATATATTATATTAAATTTTTTTTTTTTGCAATTTGAATTGTTATGAGAAAATGGAATGAATAATATTTATAAGCATTTATGTTAAATTAACAATATTAAATATAACATAAACTTATAATATTTAGTAATATAAGAATATATTATGTTAAAGAATTTTTTTTTTTGCAATTTGAATATTTATGAGAAAATGGAATGAATAATATTTATAAGCATTTATGTTAAATTAACAATATTAAATATAACATAAACTTATAATATTTAGTAATATAAAAATATATTATGTTTGTTGATGCACAAAACCGGATGTCTTGGAACAACGTAAATCCGACCGTGAATCTGCAAGAAATGTAAATGACACAAGATGTATCGTGGTTCACCCCAATGTTTGGGCTACGTCCACACTGTAGTTGATTCTGTTTCTCTGTAATTGTATGGATACAAGTGTTTGGGGGAAGTCCCCCGGAGGAGAAAGAAGAGAATGGAGAGGAGAGCCTCGGTGGTGTGAGGTCTCTCCTGAATGTAATGATAGCTTCTCTTAGCCTTCTTAGGCTTGGTTCTTTTTGCCCCCCCTTAGAATGAGGGGAGGAGTCCCCTTTTATAGAATAAGGGGCTCCTCCTCTTTTACAAAGTATGGGCTTTAGTGTGAGGCCCAAATACAAGGCCCAAGGCCCAAATATACGAGGCCCAATATATGGTACCAACAGGAGTCCCCCAAGTCTTCAGTCAAAGGAGTCTTTTGGCTGGAGACTTCAAATCCAATCCATGTACGGGCCGAAGTGGCTAGATGTCTTGAACCAGTATCAACCCAAGGTAATGCTCAACATAAAGCAATACTCGGCTAGAGGTATCACACGTTACGAGATTGCTCGGCTGGAGGCGATACTCGTTACGAGGCTGCTCGGCTAGAGGCTATGCTCGCGGCTCGGCGGCTCGGCTCGTGGTATTCCTCATTGCAAGTATCTACTTTATGTCGACATGCACTCAGTATGAGTTGATTCTCGACATGACTCGGGTCTGCTTGTCGGGTTCGCATATTGGGTCTATGTGTCGGATCCGCGGATCGGGTCCGCAAGTCGGGTCTTTGAATTGGGGCCATACGTAGGGGCATCAAGTTGGGACTATCTGTAGGGTCATCGAGTTGGGTCCGAGCACATAGGTGTCCCAATAAGCGAATGTCCGAGCAAGTGGGTGTCCGGTCAGACAAGAGATCACCATGAGCACGTGGCTCATCAGTCTATAAGTTGGTAGACTTCGTTAATCAGCAACAACGTTAATCAGTGGACCTAGTTGTTCAATAATTCCTGACAATAAATGACAGTATAAGTACGACCGTATAATGAATAAATCAAATTGACAAAGTTTGTCAAGGCAAAATATTGTACTATGTTCTTCTATAAATAAATAATTTATTCAGTCGTGTGGTAAATGATTTGTATCATATATCAACAATATAACAGGTATTGCCTAAATGTGTGTGTATATATATATAATCATGAATAAATGATTTATTTAGTTCTTTGATAAATCACATGACAATGATATTGAGAAAACATAATTATATTTCTTTCATGGCCGACAATATCAAAGTGAAAAGTAGAGACTTCATAATAAAAGTGCTCTTATCTTGAGTTTTACCGTGGCTTTTTTCTGTTAGACAGATGGATAATGGGTATATATTATACCCTGTAATATTAAATAATAATATTTGTAATAGCTTTTCAGAAAATGGGATGCATGATGAAAGTTTGGCCATTGTGTAATCAAATGCTGAGAGAAAAAGTGGATTTCGAAAGATGTGTTGCTGAGTCACTACTAACTAATGCTTTTGGTGCCATAATATATGGTTTGTTGCTTTCTCCAACATATAATGTAACGTTCCCTTTGTTTTTTGTGTTAAAATAATAAAATAATTATAATAAAATTTATCTTTTTAGACGGAGTGGGCAGCACTTATAGAACAATTGAGGCAGACAAAACAAAGTAAAGCTGGCACCATTTATAGAATAATTAAGAAATAACATAAAGAAATATAAAGTTTCTGACAACCACTTATCTTTTCGTGGGGTGTGGTTTGTGGCATGAAATGCTCTTCCATGATGATACATCTCCTTCAAACCGATAGTCCAGTGATCCCATTCTATGCCACTCAGCTACTAGAATTGCACTTTTAGCTGTTCAGCTTGTTTACTGTCGACGGGAACCGGCGGGTACAGCCTCATGCTCTCGCACAGTGCCATGTGGGTGTACACCATCTCCTTCACCTCGTCGTGACCTCCCCCCGCCGCTAACTCAGACGACGATGTGTCGTTGATCTCCTTCAAGATCTCTTGTTCTACATGTGGGTTTTGCGAAAGCAGCCAGAAGAACCAGGTGAGAGCAGCCGAAGTGGTGTCCCGGCCCACGAGGGTAAAGCTGATGATGATGTCGGTGACAAACTTTTTGTCGGAGTGATGCACTGGATATATGGTGATGCCCCAATCATTCTTAGCATGGTGGAGATCGGTGTGGCATATCCCACAGTATAAGATCTTTATGGTCGCATCGTTGATCCCATTTTCTCTTCGTTTGAAGACGAAATGAGTGGGATGGTAGAAGCAGTAGCTAGTCGATTGGGTTTTGCAGATTCACGGCGGGGGGTGAAAAAAATGAAAGAGAACCGACACAACTTTTCGTATCGTTTCCCACAGACGGATACAAGATCTTTATGGTCGCATCGTTGATCCCATTTTCTCTTCGTTTGAAGACGAAAGGAGTGGGATGGTAGAAGCAGTAGCTAGTCGATTGGGTTTTGCAGATTCACGGCGGGGGGTGAAAAAAATGAAAGAGAACCGACACAACTTTTCGTATCGTTTCCCACAGACGGCGCCAAATGTTGATGCACAAAACCGGATGTCTTGGAACAACGTAAATCCGACCGTGAATCTGCAAGAAATGTAAATGACACAAGATGTATCGTGGTTCACCCCAATGTTTGGGCTACGTCCACACTGTAGTTGATTCTGTTTCTCTGTAATTGTATGGATACAAGTGTTTGGGGGAAGTCCCCCGGAGGAGAAAGAAGAGAAGGGAGAGGAGAGCCTCGGTGGTGTGAGGTCTCTCCTGAATGTAATGATAGCTTCTCTTAGCCTTCTTAGGCTTGGTTCTTTTTGCCCCCCCCTTAGAATGAGGGGAGGAGTCCCCTTTTATAGAATAAGGGGCTCCTCCTCTTTTACAAAGTATGGGCTTTAGTGTGAGGCCCAAATACAAGGCCCAAGGCCCAAATATACGAGGCCCAATATATGGTACCAACAATGTTAAATTAATTTTTTTTTGCAATTTGAATGGTTATGAGAAAATGAAATGAATAATATTTATAAGCATTTATGTTAAATTAACAATATTAATATAACATAAACTTATCATTTTTAGTAATATAAGAATATATTATGTTAAAGATTTTTTTTTTGCAATTTGAATGGTTATGAGAAAATGAAATGAATAATATTTATAAGCATTTATGTTAAATTAACAATATTAATATAACATAAACTTATCATTTTTAGTAATATAAGAATATATTATGTTAAATTAATTTTTTTTACAATTTGAATTGTTATGAGAAAATGGAATGAATAATTTAAATAAGCATTTATGTTAAATTAACAATATTAAATATAACTTTTGCACTATAATTGTTATTTTATTTTATTGTTATTTTGATAACTTTTGGTTGTTATTTACTAGAATGGATTAGATGAGCATAATTTTGATAACTTTTTGTTGTTATTTTAATTTGTTTTTACTATAATAGGTGTTGAGAATTAAAAGATTGCAATCGTGATAGAGTTCGAGGGTTGAAAGATAGAAATTGAAAATTCTAATAGTTATGCCTACATGATAGGGATTGCAAGATTGTAGGCATCTTAGTGTCAGCGCAATATTTTACCCTCGTAAACTGGTAAAACATGGAAAAGAGTTGGTTGACGATACCCTGAAATTTTGAAGCGTATACAGCTGGAATTAATTTGTTTTTGGATCAAGCAGTTGCAAATGGTGTTGGTCCTGATAAGTTTAGATGTCCTTGCAAAAGATGTTGTAATCAATATACTTTTGTTAGGAACACTATTATTGAACATCTCATATTGTATGATATGGATAAAGATTATAAAAATGCTTGCTGGCGACATCATGGCGAGCAAAACATTGGAGAGCAAAATGTGGCAATTGGAGAAGAAGAAACAGGAGATGAGGTGATTAGCATGCATGACTTTCTTAATGATGTATTTGTCCAACCATTAACAGAAGAAGGTGTTGGGCCGTCTACTGAACCGTCTATTGGGGAAGGGCGTCCAGAAGAGGTGGAGACTTTTTTTAGGTTGCTTGAAGAGGCAGATCAAGATTTGTGGCCAGGGTGTAAGGAGTTTAAGAAATTAGAAGCAGTTGTAAGACTGTATCAGATCAAGTGTTTAGCGGGAATGCCAGACGACATCTTCACAACTTTACTGGAGTTAATTAAAAGAATGTTGCCTGAAGGGGATTGTTTGCCTGAATCATGTTATAAGGCAAAAAAACTTATAAATGACTTGGGTCTGACGTATGTGAAAATTGATGCATGTCCCAATGATTGCATGATCTATTGGAAAGATACTTCGGATTTGACCGTGTGCTCGGTTTGTGGTGAATCAAGATATAAAATTACCAACGCAGCGGATAGGTCGAGAAAAAGATCGCAGCTAAGGTTATGTGGTATTTTCCTTTAAAACCACGATTGCAACGATTTTTTATGTCGAAGCATACGGCTGAACATATGAGGTGGCATGCAGTTGAATGTCCTAAAGATGAGTTTATGAGACATCCTTCAGATTCTCCAGCATGGAAGCATTTGGATAATTTATATCCGGATTTTGCGTCAGAAATTCGAAATGTTCGATTAGGGTTGGCCAGTGATGGATTTAATCCTTTTGGAAAAATGAGGAATGATCATAGCACATGGCCTGTGGTGCTTTCTGTTTACAATTTGCCGCCTTGGATGTGTATGAAGCAACCAAATTTTTTGTTGTCTCTTTTAATACCAGGACCGCGCAGTCCTGTTAAAGAGATTGATGTATACATGCGTCCACTGATTGACGAGTTGAATGAGTTGTGGGAGGTGGGCACTTCAACTTATGATGCGTATTCCAACCAAAGTTTTACGATGAAGGCTGCTGTCTTATGGACTATAAGTGATTTTCCGGCTTATGGAATGTTGTCAGGATGGAGTACACATGGCTATAAAGCATGTCCACATTGCATGCATGATAAAGAATCCATTTACTTGCCGGCGAGTCGTAAAATTTGTTATATGGGACATCGACGGTTTCTTGAAGATAATCATAGGTTTCGAAGGCAAACCACAGCTTTTAATGGTCGTCGAGAGCATCGTAGTGCATCAAGGCAGTGGACTGGTTTACAATGTCTCGAAGAACTTTGTACATTGAGATTTACTTTTGGAAAACCAAAGAAAAATGCTTCAGTTGGGCAACGCAGAAAAAGAACTTCGAGCAGTACAAGTGGTAACAGTCAGTGGAAGAAGAAATCTATTTTTTATGAACTACCTTATTGGAGGCATCTGTTGATTAGACACAATCTTGATGTTATGCATATCGAGAAGAATATATGTGACAGTGTGGTGGGAACATTGCTAGGTATAGAAAAGTCTAAAGATGGATTGGCTGCACGTGCAGATCTTGAAGTCTTGAACATAAGACGCAGTCAACACCCACGTAGAGAAGGAAATAGAACATTTCTACCTCCAGCTTTGTTCACGTTGAAAAGAGAAGAAAAAAAAACTGCGTTTTGCAATGTGTTGTCTACTATTCGGGTCCCCGATGGATATTCATCAAATTTATCGCGATGTGTGCACGTGAATGAACGAAAAATACATGGGTTGAAAAGTCATGATTGCCATGTTTTTAATGCAGCAGTTACTCGCGCTTGCAATACGCCCGGTTTTGCCTAAAGCTGTTACTATGGTATTATTAGAGTTGAGTGCAATTTTCAGACAGTTGTGTAGTAAGAAGGAGTCTGAGGAAGGATTCAAGGAACTGAGTTCAAGAATTGCCTTGACATTATGTCAACTTGAAAAAATATTTCCTCCTGCATTTTTTGATATAATGGTGCACCTTCCAGTTCACTTGGCAGATGAAGCAGCTCTTGCAGGGCCTGTTCCCTATAGATGGATGTATCCAATTGAACGGTAATTAATAATTTTTTATAAATTTTTTACAATTGTAGTCATAACTTTAATTTATAATTATAATTGTTTGTGTTTCGTTTATAATTATAGGTATTTGCAAACGTTGAAGCGCTATGTTCGTAATAAGGGTCGTCCTGAAGGTTCTATTGCTGAAAGCATATTTGGTGGATGAGTGCTTGTCCTTCTGTTCCATGTATCTTAGAGGTGTCGAGTCTCGTCGTACCCGTAGAGGCCGAAATGAAGATGGTATTGGACGTGGAGTGTCTGATGGGTTATCAATTTTTGACTCCAAATGATGTTATATGGGTTCAGGAGAACATGTGGAGCTCGATCTAAATGCTCTTGATCAGTGCCATAGATACATTCTAAATAATTGTGATGAAGTGAACCCATTTAGAAGGTAAGAACGTTTAATCATACGTTTTAATGTTTTATTGATTTTCTTAACTTTGAAAAATTAATTATCTAAATTTGGACATAATTGTGTAGCCAACATGAGGAATTCTTGAAAACTAAACATCGTTGAGAAAGGTTAACTATGCGCCAAATTAAGGAGCTAAGCAAGAAAGAATTTCCAGAATGGTTCAAGCAACATGTGAGTTGATATAACAATCACATTATTTATTTATTGTTTTGCATTTTAATTATAACATGTTATAGTTATTCTGTCAATTTTTATCTTCATACTTATTACAGATGAATTCAAGCTATCATGCTAATGACACGTTGATATCTGAAGACTTGCATTGGCTAGCTAATTATCCTAGTAGGGTTGTGAGTAGATATAAAAGTCACATTGTTCATAGGTTTAGATTTCGTATAAAATCTGTGGATGATAAGCATAAGAATCAAAATTGTGGTGTCTTTGTACCTGCAAATGTTCCTGGAGCAATTGGGCAAGTGAATTGTTATGGCAGAGTTGTTGATATGTTCGAGGTTAAATATTGTGGTCCTACTGAGGCGGGAGATAGGGGTCGAGCTGTGATGTTATTTAAGTGCGAATGGGTTAATAGTGAAAGTCCACGAGGAATGAAGACCGATCAATATGGATTTACTATGGTGAATTTCAATCAATTGGGATTTAAAGAGGATCCTTTCATACTAGCATCACAAGCATTACAAGCATTTTACGTGGAGGACACAATTGAAAAAGATTGGCACGTAGTTGTTCGAACTCAGCCGAGGGATTTGTTTGACGTACTAGAGGATAGTGATGTTATTGATGATTATGCCATACCGAATTTGGATGATCGAATTCTTGATAATGAAAATTTTCATACAAGGGTTGGCGTGGAAGAGACTCCTTTTCTTGAATCATTAGCGTTGCCTACCGAGTTCGTTAATCATGCCAATGTCGACGATGAGCTAACAGATGATGACGGAGAATAAATATGTTAATTATTTTATGTATTAATTATACTATCTTTCATTTCGTATGTTATGATATCTTATTATCAAAATTATATTTCTGTTTTTTTTTATTAAGTATTATATATATAAGTTAAACCTTTTTTTTTAATATTGGGTTATAATTTTTTTTTTTTTAGCTTGTTTCCTGTCGCTTTTAACCGACGTCGGTTTAATTAAAATATTTTGGGCGGCACTATTCCTGATTTTTTTCATTCAGTTAGCGTCGGTTTTATTCGACGCAGACTGTCAGTTGGCGTCGGTTTTAACCGACGCAATGAAGCTTATTTCGACGCAACCAAAGATTATTTCGACGCAGACTGTCATGTTACGTCGGTTGAATCCGACGCAATGTCAGTCTATTTCGACACAAGATAAAAACCTGTTGTGAATTATTTGTATTAATGCGAAGAAAGGATGTTTATTTTTTCTTATTTACAGTTCACGAAATTTTTTGAGCTCTTAATTACACTATTTTTCTTTTTATTTAACAATTTTATACTTCTAAAAACTATAATAATTATATATATATATATATTATATTCTTTTATTTAACAATTTTATACCCCTAAAAAACGATCGATCTTCAATTTGAAATATTTACACTAGTGGATATCACAAAATCTTGTGTTATACTTAATGAAAGTATGAATAAACTCTTTAAGTGTTAGTGGATGTATCGTTTTGATGGAATACGAATTCTACGAAACTAATTTCAACGATCGAACCGTCAAACATGTTTGTATATAATTCGAGATCACATACGCCAAAAATTGCAAAAAAACAACTTTCTGAGACAAAGTAACGGGAAAAACTTATTCGACGGTTATTAACGAAAAATCACGATTTAACGGTTATTTTAACTCCAATTTTGATGATTTTTTATATGTACACTCCTTCACCCTATATGAATATGGTGAATGAATGGGATCTTCAATTTGAAATATTTACACTAGTGGATATCACAAAATCTTGTGTTATACCCAGATTAATACAAATTGGTACGTTATATTTAATATTTGTGCATGTTATATTTCATAATTGTATGTTAATATGATGTTTATATGTTTTTATAATTTAATACAACAAATTATTTGCATAAGAAAAATTCATTTTAAACGAATAATGATAAGATAAGATTGGATGTTTATGGTGATTTTAGAATATTTATCATACTATTTTATGAACTAGGTGATCAATTATTTACAATAAAAATCAAAATTTTAATTATAAATTAACCGACAATGTTTGATCAAAAGTTTCAAAATTATATATGTTTGATTAAAAAAATTCAAATATAAGGCATCTATATCAAAATGATCCTAAAATTATATTTCTGTTTTTATTAAGTATTATGTATAAGTTAAATTTTATATATTAAAATATTATATGAAATAACATAACTGCTTATTTTTTAATTTTGGGTTTAACTATTTTTTTTTTGTCTCCTGCGTTTCCATTTTTTTTTATAGTTAAACTCTTTTTTATTTTTTTGTTGGGCGGGAATTTTCCCGGTTTTTTTTGCACGGGGAAATGGATTGGAAGATTGGACGTGCGAAGCATCGAAATAATAAATCGTTAACCGACGCCACTACTTATTATTTCGACGCAACCACTTATTATTTCGACGCAACAATTAATACGTCGGTTAAAACCGACGCAACCAGTTATTGTTTTGACGCAGGCATTTATTATTTCGATGCCTCGGTTCATTCGCACGTCCAATTCCGAGGACATTGCAATTACTGTCTGTCAGAATAACGTCGGTTCAAACCGACGCAATTGTCCTCTATTTCGACGCTAGGTAAAACTGTCAGACTATAACGTCGGTTTTAAGCGACGCAATATGCCGCTATTTCGACGCCTCGGTCCCATTCACACGTCCAATTCCGAGGCCACTGGAATTACTGTCTGTCAGCAGAACGTCGGTTTAAATCGACGTAATTGTCCTCTATTTCGACGCCATATTACCCTATTTCGACGCTAGTCAAAAGTGTGTCAGAGGTTGTGTCGCTTTGAAGCGACGTAATGGTTGCATATTTCGACGCTAAGTTTTTTGGCATATTTAAGCTTCTACGACCTATTTCCGTCTCTCTCATTTCACTCCCTTCACTCCCTCATTTCACTCCCTCTCCTTCTCCATCTTCTGTATTCCTCATTTCTTCCGTGATTCCTTTGGTTTTGCTATGGATAGTAGTAGTGATTCTCAACGTGATGAGGAACTTCATGTGGAAGAGGAGGAGGTCGAAGCTGGTTATTTTTCTATATTATTATTAGATTCTTTTTTTTTTTTTGGTGTTTAATCTTCTATTATTCTTATAAACTGAAAATTTACATCTGTTTCCAACTTTTTTGGTGTGTTTTAATCGTGGTTTTTGTATGAACAAGGAACATCTCAACGGAGGCGAGGACCCTCAGTTCCCAAATGGACGAAACAACTTTGTTCTTTTGATATGTCCGGAAAATGCGTTAGTGATAACTCTAGTGCATTTTCAAAATATGTGGCATCGGAGGTTAGAGACCACAGAATTCTCCCATTGGCGAAGCATTGGCGTAAGATTAAGGATGTAGATAAGGAAGCTTTCTGGAATAGAATTAAGGTATAGGTATTTTTTTTTTTTAGGCATTGTTATATTATTTGACTTGGTTGATTTTTTTAAGCATTGTTATAATATTTGACTTGGCGTAAGATTAAGCATTGTTATAATATTTGACTTGGTTGATATTTTTTTTTTTTTTTTATGGATGTAGGGAAATATTGTTTTTGAAGATGCTGATATACCAAGATTGCCTTTGATCCGCTTTATGACGCTTAAGGTTGCTGAGCATGCACATAAGGAGTTTAGAAATAAGTTAAAAAAAAAGTATTATACGAACAGAGCTGCAGAGGAGCGTCGCCAGCCTCCTCCTGATGTGAATCCTACCCAGTGGGGTAATTTGTTGGCATACTGGAGTGGAGATAAAACAAAGGTAAACGATGTAGTTTATTTCGTTATAACTATAAATTTGTGTAATAATTTTTTTATTTTTATTTTCAGGAGGTTGCTGAAAAAAACAAGATTAATCGGCAAAAGAAAACAATGAACCATACTACTGGTACAAAATCTTTTGCAAGAAAGCGGCAAGAATATGTATGGATTGTACAATTTGAAGAAATGTTATTTTAAATATTCTATAGTTATAAATTTTAATTTTAACGAGGTTTGCCTAAAATTGTTTGTGTGAAATTTATTTTTTGGTAAAGCGGAAGAAGAAGCATGGGAAAGAAGCCGATCCTGTAACCTTTTTTCGTGAATGTCATACACGAAAAAATGAAACTTGGATTGATGAAGAATCGGAGCGTACATGGGTAATTTATTTTACTGTGTTGGTATTTCATTGTTATTCATTTTTATTATCTATAGCTTATTTTTCTGTTTTACGATTGAATTTTTATTTTTAAAAATTGTAATGCTAGGCAACAATGGAGAGCAGTCTGCAAACTTTGATTCAGTCCGGGCAAGAGGATAATGAAGATCTTAGGACCCAAGTGTATGTTGATACAATGGGTCCTGAGAGGTATAATAGAGTCAGAGGATACGGGCATGGGGTGACTCCTGATATGGTGTCCTATGCATCTTCTTCGTCTTCTACATCAATTTCCTCCAAGAGGTCATCTAACAGTGCAATGGCATTGCTGATGACTCAAAATAATGAGTTGAAATTGAGGGACGAAAATAACAATAAACGGATTTCGGACCTAGAGAACAAGCAAAGTCAGATGTTTGCGTGGCTTTTCCAAAGATTTCAGCCACAACCACAACCACAACCACCGTTTAGCCCGGGAACCCAACAGTCAGGCCAGAGTCAGCCTCATCCTCCTCAACAGTCGGGTCAAAGTCAGCCGCCCCCTGCATATCTGTATGCTGGCTATAATCAGCAACCTCCGTATCCTATGTATCCGATGCCTATGCAGCCCACGCCATACATGCAGCAGCCGCCTATGCCATACATGCAGCAGCCTCCCATGCCTTACATGCAGGAGCCGCCTTATCAAGTGCCAGTATATCGACCTGAGATGGCTGCTCCTTGTCCTGAATTTCCAGCTGGGGGGTTTGCTGAAATGCTTGCGGGTGTTGGATCTGATGTGGACTTGTCGAGGATGTTGGCATCAAATATAGGACCTCAAGGACGAGAAGGATCTGTGCCACGTTCAGGCGCAGATTCGGTTCCGTAGTTTATTTGGTTCGCTTTCTTGTCGGATAAATATGACACTTTAATCGTTCTATCTTTTTTGTTTTTTTATGTTATGTTTGTAATGTCGGATTTAGTAGTTGTTATGACGGATGGGTTTTTATATATTAAGTCGAACGTTAGATGTACAATATTTGTGTATTTTGGCACTATTTTTATCGTTAATTATTTTCATTAATGTATGTACAATATTTGTGTATTTTGGCACTATTTTTTTTATAATTATTTTCATTAATGTTTATTTTGGCCTTGAAATTTATTAATATAATTATATAATTTTTTTCTGTTACAATGAATTGAAGAAGAATGCGGTTTGTCTGGTTTTTTTATTATTATTAACAAAGGTGGTGTCGGTTAAGACCGTTATTCGTTTGCATATTTTATTTATTTAATTGTTATTTGACGTCGGTTTATGGGATATTAAATTGATTTAATATTATTTCAGTGTCGTTTAAAAGCGACAGTAGGATTTATATTTTACAATAAATTGCTTATGAACGTCGCCTTAAAGCGACGTAACGTGTAAGTATGCGTCGCTTTAAATCGACGTTAATTTTAGTGTCGCTTTAGAGCGACGCTGCTTAGTGTCGGTTTAAGCCACGAAACCGACACTAAAGCCCTTTCGTGACGCTAGCAATAGTGTCGCTTTGAAAATGCGACATTACATTGTTTTATGTCGCATTTTTGCCAAAATTGCGACAGAAATCGGATTTCTCGTCGGTTTTTGCTCCGACGGTGATAGCATATATTGTAGTGGTGAAAACTAATTTTGTAGTAGTGTTTATTCTTTTTATTAATCTATTTTTTTTCAAAATGTACATGATCGACTAGTCTTTGCATGGCGGAAAGAAATTTTTTTGTCGTCGCAGATCATAATTAATTGAATGGAAAACTAACCAAAACACCCTCAAAACTTTACTTTTAATCATAAGGACAAATTTTTTCAAAAATGCCAATCCTACCCTTCACACATATGTACAAGATTGGGTCAGTTTCTGCAAAGTTCAAGTGGATACATCCAAAAGAAGAAAAAGGAGATTGACATTTTCAGAAAACATTTGCATGCAAAAGAATATGTGGCAAACATGCAACAACCAAGACAATACAGATTCACATGCAAAAGAAAATGTGGCAAACACTGCAGCAACCAAGGCAACATAAATTCACATGACATTCAAGCAAAGACAAGATAGCCAGCTTTCAGAAACAGTGCTAACAGTTTTCAGAAACAGTGTGCTGTCACTATTCAGAAAATTGTAAATAGATGAAATGTTATTTTGTCTTTGAAGAATTAGATTTTGTATATAAGGGAGTCTTTCCTCCCTTACAGAACACGTTTTTCTCAACATCTGAAAACATCATACTCACTTCATACACTCAAGCATTCGTAGCCTTCATAGCATCCTTGTAAACACTTTTTTGTAATCACTTTCTTGTAAACAACCATCTCTGTAAACATTCCATATATCAATAAAAGTTCAAGTGTACATATTCAAGCAATCTCCAAGTCTTAAGTAAGTTTTCTTTTCCTTCTTTAGTGTGTTTGTTTAATTAGACTTCTAGTCCAAAACAGGGAAACACTATTGTGGTTATATTATTAACCTGTTAAACTGACGATCATACTTTGTTCGAGCACTCTGTTATAGTTGAATGTTTTCCATACAAATAACTGGACATCAACCAGGGTACCTCTGAGTTCTTCGTACCTCTGAGTTCAGCCGTTAAGGCCTTATACTTGTACTGTGAGTGGCCGTCATGCTGAAACATGTCGAGTTCCATGTGCAAGGTTCTATGTCTAGTTGTTATAATGGTCATCCGACTATTTAACCGAGCATGCGTTGCGAATTTGGTATCAGAGCCTAGTTTAACATTTTAATAGTATAATTATAATAGTAAAGTACCTTGAGGATAGAAGTCGTAGATACAACTGATATCATATTTGTTTATTGTATATGAACAACAAATATTATTGTCCCTGTAGACCCTGTCAACCACAATTACCAGGTATTTATTGTCCCAGACATCCAACTATAACTAGCATAAAGAGAAGATTAACATATATATCCAAAAGAATTATTAGTACTTTGAAGAAGCAAAAGTTTGGTCTTGGATATCTTGAATATCCTTCATTTATTCGTAAATATAATAACACAGAATTGCAGTATAAAGTTTTAGAAGCAAAAAGAACAACAGATCAAGTTTTAGAGACATTGAGAGAAGAAAGAGAGTTTTTAAGAAACCAGTTAGCCGTAACCCTAGAAAAAGGTAGACTATAGTTTATGATAGATTATCTTAATTTAAAAATTAGTGAACCTCAAAAAAAAAATAACTTTAGACCAAAATAGTTTAGTTTGTTATTTTCCATCAAGAAAGCATAATCATATTTTGCACAGTGAAGAAAATTCACAAGCCAATACTATTGTAGATCTTATTATTAGTCAAGCAGAAAATATAAAATTAGAAAATAATAAGCATAATCATTTGTTAAATCAGTTGTTAGAACATTTCCAGAAAAACTCCATAAAAATAATTAGACAAAATTTAGACTATATTATATCTCAGTTAGAAGATAATAATAGAAATATTCAAAGGTTTCCTAGCAAAAGAGAGATAAAAGAGCTTGTTGATCTTATAGATAGTAAGCCGAAGCAAGTAGAACTTAGATCATTAGAAATAGTTGAACATCTAAAATCAGAAGTTCAAAAAATTCAATTAGTACAAAAAGAGTTAAGTGAACAAGTAGATAAGTTGCATAATAAAATAGATAAGTTATTAGTTTAATGACAGATTCTAGAACTAGCAGAAAATATATTCAAGCTTTGAAAGAAATTAGTAAATTAGATAAAGAACCAGTAGGATTAACAGATTTTTCAACACAAATATCCAGTAGTAATATTCCCATTAGGCAAAATAATTTGATTATCCAATTAGTTTTAAGTTTAGCTGAAAAATTAGATTAAGTTGAAGAACAAATAGCAGAAATAAACCAAGTTCTACATAACGCATCTTCATCACTTCCACCATCTTTGCTATATAAATTAGAAAATTTAACTTTGAGTGCAAATAATAATAGAAGACCTAAGCTAAATCCATTTGATAATAGAAAATGGAACTCTTTAGGAAAAAAGGAAAAGAAGTAGTTAGAGCGGAAGATATTTATCCAAATGAAGAAGAAGCACAAGAATTCATTCAAAGAGGTTTTGAGAGAACACAAAAAAATAAATATAACTTTTATCAATTAGGTTTATTTGAAAACAGAAGTAGAATTGTAAGCAGCATCAGTCAACATAAAGTTAGCTGTATTGATAAAGAAGTCACACTTAATCTAATTAGTAAAGAAACAGTTACTCATTTGAGAAAATCACATTTTAGTCAGATTCATATAGGAACAATATTAATTGGAATAGCAGGATTAACCAGAGCACAAGTAGGTACAAAAGCTTTAGTATACATATACGATGATAGATGGGATAATCACCAACAAGCAGCAATAGCAACAGCTGAAGTAGACTTAAGTTCAAACTTAGCAGTTATAGGTTGTATTCCAAATTATGTTATGACGATTAATGAATTTAGTAAATATATTAAAGTGAGCATAAGAACAAAAAATTATAATATGAAAGGAGAGTATAAAAATTTGTGTATTAGCCTAATGTATATAGGTAAAGTGTCTGATAGATATAATCATAAGTTTAATTTAGAGTTTCAAAATTTAGTTCAAACATTTGGCAGTAAACATGTAAATATGATAGAAGCAAAACCCGTAGATAATAGCTTTTTAGAAGGAACTCAGTGGACATTGCTTAATTTACAAGTAGCACCAAATAGACAACCAGATAAAGTACAAATATATGAAACTAGTACAGGTCAAGCAACAATTAGGTTTAGTAATTATAAGCAACTAGAAAAAATAGAAGAGGATGAGAGTGAAATTGAAAATGAAAGTATACATATGGCTTTTGATAATTTAGATATTAATTTAGTTGAACAAAATTTTGATTATATTGTAGATAAACTTATAGAAGATATTGATCATTTAGATGAAGAACAATATTTGGAAAAATATAAGACATATGATTTAGGACTACATAAAATTTCAGACAAAGAAATGAAAATTATAATCTTAGAAATAGGAGTAGAACACATTTTAGGATCAAAAGAAAATAATTTATTAGAATTGAAAGCAGAATGTAATCCAGCAGAAGAAAGTAGTACATCAGGCGTAGAAAATCCAGGACACGCAAGCAGAACAGATCAACAATTTTTAAGACCAACAAATGAACAATATAATGAAAAAGCAAAAGTAGACTATATGAAAGAAAGTATGATAAAACCTAGAAAAAATAGGATTCCATATTTGAGAGGGTTAGAACAAATTAATATAGCTGGTAATATATTAAATTTAGATAATGTAGATCCACAAGATTGGGAAAGAACGATTGAGAGATGGGAAAAAGGCTGCGTACATGCAGCATTAATGTTAGATTTTAGTAATTCACAAAACATGTTAGATTACTTTGAACATACTTTGGATGGTTTAGTTTTTTATTATTTCCAGTCATGGAAAGTTCAAAATCCAGAACAACATCAGGCAGCTAAAACACATTTTAATATTGATGGTTTTGTTACTTTGATTAAACAAGAGTTTTTAGATCATAATAGGTTAGATGGCAGAAGTGAACAAGAACAAATAAGAGTAATCAGAAATTTAGAACAATTACAAATTTACGATTTACAGTATATAGCTGAGTATACCACAGATTTCTTTAAATATTTAGGAAGAACAAGTAGAATTAGTGATATTAATTTATTAGATACTTATATGACAAAAATAAAAGGACCAATAGGTGAAAAGATTTGGAATGAATGGCAAAAGCATTCGAAAAAAAATGATATTGTTATAGGACCTAGAATTCAACATGTATATGATATAATTAGACAAGAGTGTAGTCAAATAAAGGCTAAGAGACAAATCAGGAAGCA